AGTGAAGTCACAGGAGGTGTGGGTGTAGTTGTGTCTTATGCGGATTGTTGTCTTTCACTCAGTTGGACACAAACTACAATTGAATGACCATCGAAAAACTAAAAGCTCATGGACAAAAAATACACCATGTAATCACATAGGAACAGTAACCAAAAAAAGAGAAAAGGGAAAAAAAGAAGAAAAAACATCTGCTTTTAACTTGAAATGAACCATCTCCTAAGGACCCTGGGAACAGCCATAGGATATGGCCACTGAGCTTACTGGTTACCACAGCTGCAGGAAAGGTGGGTGAACTCTTATCTCATTCCTTCTCTGATCTCCCAGTGACTTCCTCTACTGCTGACCTAAGAAGCCCTTATGTCTGCAGCTCTCAAAGGAGTGTCCCTTAGCCAGAGGGCCTGGTCTTGCCCCCAGGTGTCAAACCAAGGCATGCAGCCAGGGTGGCTGGTTGGGGTGTGTTACCTGGGCTAAGTAGATGACTCTGGTGATCTCCTTCCCTTCCATGGTGAGAGGCTGCAGGATCCAGGCACTGGGCAGGATCTCCCCTCGGACCATTTCTCTGCTAGGTCGTGGCATGGATATGTCATACACAGACTGAGCTGCCATAATAAAGAGGTGCCCCTGGGGACAAAGAAGGATGTGAGCCCTATGTGATGGGAAAGGAAAGAGGGAAACGCTCAAATGTGGTTAGGATCACGGAAGGCAGCACTAGGCCAGGCTCCACCACCCTTGGCCCAGGCCCAACTTGCCCTCCCTCCTTCCTACAGGAGGCCCTGACTCCCACTGAGATCACTTCTCAGAAGATGCCTCCCCAGGTTCTTCCCACAGTACCTGCACCACGAGCAAGGCAGGAAAAGTACCTCTTTGGCTTCCACGCAGACACAACAGAAATCCCGTGGCTGCTTCAATGCACACAGGGTGGTATTGCACACCAGGTACACTGCAGGGGCAGGATGAGGGAGAGTCAGCAGGCATTTGATAGACACTAGTCCTGAGCTCTTTCCAGTCCAGGACCGTCTGCCACACCATCACTCATGGCCTGATACCGAGCTAGACCTCTTAGTCTGAGCAATCCTGACACAGTATGAGTACCTGACCTCCTGAGGGCTGCCTCCAACCCTGCTACCTCTGTCCCCTGGCCAGGGCCTGCTGGATACACAGAGACTAGACCCCAAGGACACCTTCTCTGGGCTCACCCAGGCTGATGCTGTTGGTCACCCGCTGATGCAGCCGTGCTGTCTGGATGGGCTTGTGATACAGAGGCCACAGGGTGGGATCACTCACAGCTGTCCACACCTGTGGCAGCGGCTGGGACACCACACCTGCCCCCAGGAAGCCATGCCGAGTAGAAGAAAACACCTTGTAGTAAAGTTGCACCTCCTGCTCCTCACCCTGATAGCTGGAGGGAAACACCAAGCATAAGGAAGAGGAGAAGGTAAAGAATGGGTTCCAGGGATCACAAGGGAGAAACCTGGGCCGAGGGTCTCAAGCCAGAGCAGAGGAGGGAAAGAACTGAAGGCAAGCAGGACAGTAGGGTTAGAACCAAGACACACTGTACTTACCTCCAGCCAGCTGCTGCCTGGTGGATGAACAGGTTGTGTAGATTATCCGAACAAGCAGCCATTACCTAGGAACACAGTGGGCGCAGACAACCCAGGCCCCTGGGCTGGTCAGTCTGGTCAGTATGCACTGAATTCCCCTTTCCTAAGATGGTAAGCCACTGAAGGAGCCCACATCTGTCTCAGTAGTCCCACTTTGCCTCTTCCTTTTCCTCCTTTCTCTTCCTTCCTCCCTGCCAATGACCTCCACACAGCAGAGGTCTGGTTAAAGGAGGGTAGGGGAGAGTGGGAGTGGTTAACTCACATCAGCCACAGAGATGTTCACGATGTGCTTGGCCAGGTCCTGGTAGGAGGAGTTACAGCAGGTTGCTGAGCTGGTCAGGCTGGATGTGGAGCAGCAGCAACTGCCCAGGAAGGCTCTGTGGCCTACAATCAACAGCAGGGCTCAGATGGCACAGAACATCAAGACCTTAGGAAAGCAACTTCTCTGATCTGGGGGCTCAGACCCGTGACTCCCTAGGATTTAGCAGGACCAGTCCCTAAAGTTCCCAAACTACCCTCCCTACCACTCACCACAGGCTGAAGTCTTCCAGGAGGGTCCAGCCAGATAAAGGCGATTGCTCCTCACTGCAGAACGACCCCGCCCATCCCCTATCCAGGTGTCTCTTGAATCAGACCAGTGTGTGTCCACCTGCAGAACATAAGATGGTCAGGGCCAGAGAAGAGGAAGAAAGAGAGCTGGAAAGCAAGCATAGAAGTATCTCCTCTGCACCTAACAGTTTCCAATGTAATGGCTCAACTGAAAAGACTGTTCCTATATTGAATGCCTGCAAGAGGTCACCAGCAATAAAAACCAGTCCCTGGACAACCAATCTCTCCTCACCCCCCAAGCCACATACCTAATGGGGATCAGGACAAAATGGGGCCTGGGAGCACCAGGGATGCTGCCAGCCTGCTAAGGGGGAGAGGCCAGAGAGGTAGAACAGTGGGCAGAGGCTGTTGCACAATTGTGGCAGTGGCAGTGGCAGTGAAAGTGAGGCCATGCTTGAACTGGCTCAGTGTGGCAGCAAACAGCCCAAGGGGCAGACAAGATGGGGAGGGAAAGCTAGCCAGCTATGACAAGCTTAACCATTGGCTCCTGTTCCATCTGTAGCCAAAAGTGTCAATTTGGGGCCAGATGGGGATGATCCTCTCTACATCTGCACCATCGTTACCCCATCCTCACCTCAACCAGCTCCCTGATGACATGACCCTTGACCTCAGCTGGATCTAACAGACACCCACCATCCTAACTCTATCACTGGTTCTTAACCTATCAGTACTTCACAGATAAGAGGGGGTGAACAAAGACAGTCCTGTCTCCATCTTTCCCTGCTTCAGCACATGAGGGGGTCTCACGTTAGGCAGGCCCTTTGCAGTGTAGTAAATTACCTGGTATGGCTATTCTAACCATAAGTCTTTGTAAACTCCATGGTGGAATTTTCCATGAGCAACTGAATAGCTCCTGATTGTTAACATTATCTACTTGGAGTATTTCTGTTGAGAGTGGCACAAAGCAATCTTTGGGAAGTTCACTCTCTCTCAGGTGTTTAGAATTCTGATGTTGGGATTGGTCAGTCTGGCCACTCTGCCAGGCTCAAAAGGAATCCTTCTAGAGGTAGAAGGAATTTCTCACTGCTGACTGAGAGATGCAAGAGACACGCATTTTGCTGAGAGAGAAGCAAGAACCATGCACCGGTGAGAGAGACCTCAAGAGATATGCATTGCTGGGAGAGAAACCAAGAGACACGTACTTCTAGGAGACACTGAGAAAAGAGTGTCGGCTGAGAGACAGCAGGCTGAGAGAGACTAAGTGTGTTCCTGAACCTGAATTGTAGCCTGTTGCTTCCCTAATAAACCTCACAATCTGTGAGTTCTGTGTGGCTACTGCAGCGAATTACTGAACCCAGCAGAGAGGTAAGGTGCTGCAGGAAGAATGGTTGATGAAAGGGCTGGAGGGAGGCAGCATGTCTGACCTTGCAGAAATAGGCCTTGGGCTATTGATGGTGATTCTGTCCTCCTCTTAGGATTTCAGAAGATATGGCCTCCCTACTCCTTTAGCACCCCTCCACCTGAGATTGAGATCTCCCACCACCACCTCAGGGTCCTTTCACTACTGATCACCTCTGTTTCACTTATTTTCTCCACTGCCCCTCTTCACTGGATCCTTTTTATTAGTATTTAAACATGTAATAGTTTCCCATCTTTAAACACCTTCTTTGATGCCACCTTTCCCTCCACTACCACCTACTTTTTGCTCTCCTGTCCTTCATAGTTAAAACTTCCTGAAACAACTGTTACCCTTTGCCGTCCCCATTTTCTCACCTCTCATTCACTACTGAGCCCATTCTAGTCTAGCATTTGCCCTCATCCCTCCAGCAAGCAGCAGTCACCAAGGTCACCCTGACCTCGGTGTGGCTAGATCTGGTGAACAACTGCCAGTCTTCATCTGACTGATTCTCAGCAGAAGTCTGATGTGCTTGCTTCCTGACTCCTCCTCCTGGCTCCCCACCTCTCCAGGTGCTCCTTGTAGATTTCCTTGGCTGACTCGTCCTCCCTAACCACAAACTGATGTTTTAGAATCCTTTCAAGACTTGGACTTAGGACCTTTGTAATATACTTCTGGGTGATCTCATCTGCTCTTAGTGCTATGTTGATGACTTCCAAAAATAAATCTCCATGGATGAAATAAACATTTATTGAGACAACTGGGTAGCAATCTGGAAAAAAAAAAAAAAAAAAACTTATGGTATCAGAGACCCATGTCATACATCATGCCAAAATTAGTTCTTCACAGATCGAGATGTATAGGGGTGAATAACGTTACTACAAGAAAACAAACTTAAAAAAAAAAAAAAAATTCTGGTAGTTGGGGAATGCTTTTCTAAACCAGGCACAAAATCCACAAACCATGAAAGAAAATATTGATTTACAAAAGCAAAAAACAAACAAAAAAAACAATAGATAACAAAAAATTTAATTTGTCCATAAATAAATACAATAAAAGTAAAAAAAAAAAAAATACATAACACGCTAGGAAAAAACATGGGAAAAAGATGAGGCAATATGCTACTGTAAAGATTTACAGCCTTGGAAACTCCACGGGGCAGTTCTACTCTATCCTATAGGGTTGCTATGAGTCAGAATCTACTCGATAGCAGCGGGTATAGGAAAAAACACTGGCATCTCAAATGACAGAATATGAAAGTTTCTTGAAAACCAAAGGACTGACAAACTAGTAGAGAAATGCACATTGTACACTGGCAATCACAGCAAAGAAAGATGAGAGCCCTTAAACATCTCAAAAGACCCTTGATCTCAAACATAAGAAGAGAATCACAAAGAAAACTACAATGAAATACTATTTTCACTTTTCATATTGCCAAAGATTAAAGTGTGGTAACAGACAGCAGTTATATGCATTATTATTTGAGAGTATAAACTGGTATAGTTTGGAAATATTGATCAAAATTAAAAATGTACATCACCTGGGACTTCCAGTAAGATGGAGGAATAGGCAGACAAGCGACACAGGCGCTCTTCAACAAAGAAAAGAAAAACCAATTGACAGAGATACAGAAGATAATCCTGGAACCCTGAGCTTTGAAAGGAACTATACAGAAGTGCATTAGGCACCAACTAGTGGAAAAACCTGAATGAAAACAGTGAGTACACAGAGGGTCGGAGCTGCGGACTGTCAGCTACTCTGACAAGACCAACAGCCTGAATATTTCCAAGTGATGTTGGGACCTGAGAATTGACCTAAAGATCAGTCCCGGTCACCAATGGCTGCAGGGACAACTGCTCTGGTGGCCTGTAACTAGGAAGGGAAACAGCAAGGAGGGAGACAACCTGAGCTGTGGACTTTCTGCTGTCCGGAAGGCACAGCCATCTTGATTGTTTATAAGCGGCAGCCATTTTGGATATTTAAAGTGACCAAGGGTGCAGCCATCTTGAATGTTTACAAGCGGTGGCCATTTTGGATATTAAAAGTGTCGAAGGGCACAGCCATTTTAAATGTTTACAAGTGGCAACCAATTTGGATTTTAAAGTGATAGTATTCTCATTTGGATTCCAGGGACCTAAGGACAGGCTCTTTGTCAGAGTCGGCAAGGACATATGAGAGGCTGAGAAAGGAAAGGAGACAGGCTGTGAGTGTATAAATGCTGTCAACTAGTGAATAGAGGAGCACAGCACAGTACCCTACCTATACAGATAACATACAAACAAAGAAAATGAAAACTGTGGGCAAGTCACTCCAACATATAATCACCAATTAAATATAAACACAAAAATGTCACAATGCCTCGGAGACAACAGAGCATCACAGTCCATACAAAGAAGATAAAGCAGGAGAAACAAGGGACTGGGATACAGACCCAAAACACATCCCTGAGGAAGATGCAGCATTGGAACTCCCTGATAAGGAATTCAAAAGAATTATATTTAGCTCTCTTCAAAGGATTGAGAGACAGACCAAGGAAAGAACAGACAAAAACCTAGAAGAATTTTGGAAGAAAATACAAGAACAAAGTGATAAAATAAATGAAAAATTAGAAATGATTCTAAATCTACAGATAGAAATCCAGAAGATTAATACTAAATTGTCAGAAACGGATAACACACTGAAAGGGCAAAGGAGTAGAACTGATGCAATGGAAGACAGAATTAATGAAATGGAAGACAAATACCTGAATACTTCTTTGGAAAGGGATCAATCAGAAAAAAGATCAAAACAAAATGAAGAAAGCCTAAGATGCATGTGGGATACCATCAAAAGGACTAAGTACTACATGTCACTGGAATTCCAGAACAGGAAGAGAAAAAGAAAACCACTGAGAAAATTGTCCAAGATTTGTTGGAAAAGAACTTCCCTGATATGATGAATGTTGTTGTTGTTAGGTGCCGTCGAGTCACTTCCGACTCATAGCGACCCCATGCACAGCAGAACGAAACGCCGAACAATCCCACACCAACTCCGTGATCCTTACTATACTTGAGCCCATTGTCACAGCCACCATGTCAATCCATCTCGTCGAAGGCCTTCCCCTCTTTCGTCGATCCTCCACCTTACCAAGCATGACATCCTTCTCCAGGGAATGGTCCCCTCTGACAACATGGCCAAAGTAGGTGAGACGAAGTCTGGCCATCCTCGCTTCTAAGGAGCATCTTGGCTGCACTTCTTCCAGCACAGATCTGTTAGTCTTTTGGCAGTCCATGGTACTTTCAGCATTCTTCGCCAGCACCACAACTCAAAAGCATCAACTCTTCTTTGGTCTTCCTTATCCATTGTCCAGCTCTCACATGCATACGAGGCAATTGGAAATATCATAGCCTGTGTCAGGCGCACCTTAGTCCTCAAGGAGACATCCTTGCTCCTCAGCACTTGAAAGAGTTCCTTTGCAGCCAACCTGCCCAGTGCTACACGTCGTCTAATGTCCTGACTGCTGCTTCCACTGGCCTCAATTGTAGAACCAAGCAATGTGAGTTCTTTGACAAACTCAATCTTTTCTCCATGTATCATGATGCTGCTTATTGGTCCAGTTGTGAGGATTTTTGTCTTCTTTATATTGAGACGTAATCCATATTGCAGACTGTATTCTTCAACCTTCATCAGTAAGTGCCTCAAGTCATCCTCACTTTCAGCAAGCA